CACATATATTGATTTTGGGTTGAAAACACTTGACATTAAAAAGAACAAGGGTAATAGTGGTATATGAGTCCGAGGATTATTCTATTTATAACATGGAGTACTGGAAAGTAAATGGTCAATTTTCATAGATTTTATTTTTTTACATGTTATATAATAGTGTGTCCTGGAGAAAGCTGCTGTGTTAATTCAATGTAATTAGGTTGTGTGTCTCTAGTGACAAAGTGTGTCTCAAAGTGCCATATAATAAAAAGTTACACCCTATCATTTTAATGGGTCAAACTCTACTCTTAGTTGCAATTAAGTCAATGAGGTTGCAAAGGGGTAAGAGAGTAGAGTTTGGTCCGCATCTCATATGTTTTCTATACTTATCTAACATGGAGTGAATCACAGTTTCCTCAGATACATCCTGTTTTTTCACTACTTCCCATGGAAAGTTTTATTTTTATATTTTGGACATGATTTAAAATCAAGCGCCTGGACCCCTTGTGATCATTAAAGAGTTTATGGCACTTTTGGCAGAATGTTAGCCCTGGTGACTGGCCAAATTCCAATTTAGGCCTAGTGTAATTACTCATCTAAAATTTCCCTACCGTTTTCGTTGGATATAGTGCTCTTCCTCACTTCTTCTACCGAACATGTTTGTAGTGTTGCTATGCACTGGTAAACAGGTGTTGAATGCCACCCCAGAACTGACTGCCTTTCAGTAGTTAGTGATGTGATTTTTGTATACATTCTCTGTGGCCTAATTCTGCAAAAGCCGATGAATATCTTCTGCAAAATGGTGAGATTCCCAATTAAGTCAATGCTCAGTACTTAACTTTATAAACTAAGAACCCAGTCCTGTAATTTGGCATTTTTTGGCATTAAAGTTGTTACTGTAAATGATGCAAGTAGCAACACCTATACTTAAGACTGGCTGACACTTCCCATTATAACACCCTGTTTTCAGTTGCTTATAACTGCCAAACTTTAAGAATTTGGGCTGATGTTTTTTCATGCTGGGTCTGCCTCCAGCTGATTTTTTTCCCCCTCCTGGAAAATTTCAGCAAAAACAGTTCAGCCATTTCTCAGAACAACATTAGGGAAAAAAGTACATTATTAAAAAATTACCATGGTAAAAGATTCTTGCAACGGTTTCATTGAGAAACTCTCGTGCCTCTATGCTTGGATCAGAGACTTGAAGTGTGGGTGGTCAGCCTGGTGTCAGGGATGTGCCTTTTGCTACTCCTGTGAAAATCTACCTAACTTTAACCAAGTTATGACACTTTCAGTTCGCATCTATTCAGTACGGTCTTGTTAGAGGTTGTCAATCAAATGCTTCAGTCTACACTGAGGATGCTCCATCCCAGGGCTGCAGGGGCTGGGCAGGACTTTAGGTTGAATTACTGCTTCCTGCTACTGTGGCTGTTGCCATACTGGACACAGAAATAGAAAGCAGGGAGACTGTATCTCCTGTGATCTCAATTCTCACCATGTTGACGCCCAGTCAGCAAGGACAAGGAGGAGGAACGGAGAGGGGGTGGCAGCTCCAAGCACAGACAGTGGAGAGGGGATGGAGGGAAAGGGACAGGTCAGTACATTGGGGAGGGGGGGTCTCCCAAGCCCCCACTGCAAAACAGCATACCCCGCCACCGACAACTTAGATGGAGGGGATAGCTCAGTGTGGGGGTACAATGTCCTTGATACCCCCCCACTGCAAAAATGAAACCCCCTCCCCCACTGCTTGCAAGCCAGATGCTGAGGAAGTGAGTAGGAAACCTTCCAGCTGTGCTACTGCTGCTTCCCTGACCCCAGCTTCGCCCCCCCCACCCCACCCCCCCAAAAAAAACCCTCTCTTCCAGCCCTTCCCCCCTGCATATGCGGTCCACGGAGGCAGGGCAAATGGACGGGGCTGTGTGCCCTGGAACTGCGCTGAAGGGCCAGGGTTGGAAGGGGAGTGGAAAGACACAGTTTTGGGGGGGGGGCAGAGCCCCTATATGCTCCCCAATCTCCACCTTCAGATGTGATGTCACAAGGTCACAAATGTTGCTCTTATGCGGCGGCTATGTTGCCGTTACCAAGTGGACCATTCACAGTAGGGACAGTGTTCCCAGGGGAAGTGTTCTCTGCAAGTGGCGATTGCTCTAAAAAGACGTTGCTGCAAGTAAGTTTCTACTGTATCAATTTCCCAGCATTCCATTCTGCTGCTGGGAGGTTCCACTTGACCCTTTTAAACTCCCCTACTAGGATACCAATTTGTTTGATGAAAGGATTGCAGTGCTCCTACTGATAGACCTCTTACTAGCGCTGTCAACGTTTTTTCATCAAACAGTAATTGAAATAAAAAGTGGGTTTTTTCTGTCAAAAATGAAATTTTTTACTAAAAAAATTAATTGGCTTTCAGTTTTTAAAAAATTGGCTTTGAAAATAGGTTTACCAAAAATCACAAATTTTTCTTGTCAAAAACAGTTTGTTTTTCATTGAAAAACAATATAAAACATTTTTGCAGGAAATTTCAGAGAAAAAAACAACAACCCTGAAAATGTTTTGGAATTTCCCATGGAAAAAAAATTGGTGTCTGCCAGTTATAGCTTGAATTGCAACCCTTTTTCTATAACAAAACTCATGCTCCTGAGGTCGCTTTGTTCTTGACGCCTATGCTAGCCAGCATGTTGCTGTTCCCAGGATGGCCAGCCCAACTGAAGCTGTATGCATCTTGCTAGCTGGCCTACAGTTCCAATGATTCTTCTCTACCCTGGAATTCTCTCTAGCTATTCTTTCCCACTTGTTAGCCTACTTGCTTCTTTGTTCACTCCACCCCCACTACTCTTCTCCCGGGCCCAGAATCTGCTGCCTCACCCCTCCTTACACATCGGGTTGCTAGGCGTCTGGTTTCTGACCGGAACACCCAGTGGAAAAGGGACGTTGGTGGCTCCAGTCAGCATTGCTGACCTCGCCGTTAAAAGTTCGGTCAGTGGCGCAGTGGGGCTAAGGCAGGCTTCCTGCCTGCCCTGGCTATGTGCAGCTCCCCATAAGCGACTGGCATGTCCCTGCAGCCACTAGGCAAAGGGGCGATCGGGGAAGCTTCCGCAGGCTGCTCCAGCATCAGCTCTGCAGCTCCCATTGGTTGGGAATCGCAGCCAATGGGAGCTGTGGGTGAGGTGCCTGCAAGCACAGGCATCGCGCATAGCCGCCCGGCCCCTAGGCAGAGGGGTCAGGCGGCTGACGTTCTGGCCACTTCCAGGAGCAGCGCGGAGCCAGGGCAGGCAAGAAGCCTACTTAGCCCCCCTGCGCCGCCGACCGGGAGCCACTTGTGGTAAGCGCAGCCCAGCCGGAACCTGTACCCCAAGCCCACTTCCCCAGGCCTAACCCCCTCCTGCACCCTAACTCTGTCCCAGACCCTGCACCCCAACTTTCTGCCGCAGGTCGGAACCCCCTTCCACACCTAAACTCCCTCCCAGAGCCCGCACCCCCTCCTGCAGCCCAATCCCCTTCCCCCACCCTGAGCCCACTCCCGCACTCCAAACCTCTTGTCCCCAGCCCCACCCCAGAGCCCGCACCCCCCAGCTGGAGCCCTCACTCCCTCCCACACCCAGCTCCCTGCCCCAGCCCAGGGCCTGCTCCTGCACCCCCAGCTGGAGCCCTCACCTCCCCGTGCACCCCAACCCCCTGCCCCAGCCCATTGAAAGTAAGTGAGGATGGGGGAGAGCAAGCGATGGAGGGAAGGGGGCTGGAGTGAATGGGGGCAGGGCCTCAGGAAGGGGTGTGGCAGCAGAAGGGGCAAAGGTGTTCAGTTTTATGCAATGAGAAAGTTGGCAACCCTACCTACACACACACACAATTGCTGCAATACTTACCTAACTCCCAGTCCCTCCCAACAGCAACACCAACCCGCTATTGCTCCTTTTCCACCACCATCCCTCCTTCATATTCCTTAATATATTTTAACATACATTCAGGAAAGAAGGGGAGTCTTTCGTTGGCTAGGGAAAGCTAAATAAGATTCTCTCCTCCTTATCTTCTGAGAGCAAATAGGTTTCCTTATAAGCACCTCCTTTTGCTTTACTGCTGACGGTTAGTTTGGATTTAAAACACACTGGAATTCTGTGCTCTTCAAACCATCTCCATGAAATGATACTTCAAAACATCAATCTTTTGTATAAACCTTTGCTTTCAATCTCAAATAGGAACAGATCATCCATTTGGAACAACTCATCAGAGTAGCAGGGTTTGACTCATTTTGGTCATTAATTCATTCCATGTTAATATGTCCTGGACGATAGGTTTACAGTATAGCTCAGATAATCCATAACATACATTGGTAAATCCAGAGACTCTTTGTTATGCTAAGTGTTTAGACTACCAGAAGGCAATAGTTCCCCCAAACATTCTCTCTTGAAGCAGCGATCTCTTTTCTGCTAAGGTAACACATCAGTTTTAGGCCAAAGACAGAAGAGACTGACATACCACTATTTATCCACAAAACAAGCAGTTGTAGTGTAAACTTCCTTACCTCTCTGCCCCCATAATGTACCTCACCTCTGACCTGCAGGGATTGTATCTAGGACCAAGAAGAGGAGTTCACTCTCTGTGGCCAATTTAATCCTTAACCTCTCTGCTGAGACTACTGACAAGGAGGCCAATTAGTGCCGATTATGGTGGTGGGCTTTGTGAAGAGAACACCTGTCCACAGGGACCACCATCTTATTTCACACAAGCAACTGAACAGCCACCAGATGGTAACATCACTTAATCTTTGCTGACTTGGAATGGATTCAAACTAGCATCCTAGGGATGAAAGGCTCCCTAGACTATTATCAATCCCCTGAGCTATCCAGTCACCTGGTTCTGATAATTTCTGAGCTTGTAAGGTTTATGTGATCCATGAAGTGAAAAATTTATTTTTTCTGCAGGAATTGCAAGAATCCCTGTGGCTCCTGGGTGTCTTTTTTATTTTGGTATAATTTAGCTTATTTATACCTGCTTTATTCTTCATGCTGTTTTTCCTGTTTTCCTCTCAGATCCTTGAAGATCAGTTTGTGCTCTTCTCCTGAAAGAACCTTTTCTGTGTTTCATGTAAGTACTCAGCATTTTGTACCTTTCAGCGACAAGAATCATGTGTTTTATTCAGGGCCCAGTCAAGCAAATCTGAAGCCCCTGTGAAGTATTTTATAGGTTTCTCTGGCTGCAAGGCTCGGTATTCGGTGTGTATCCTTATTCTGCCCAGTTGTCCCAAACTTCTGTACAGCATCAGTTTGTAAGATTCAGAATGGTTCATTTCCACTGTGTGATGGGGAGAATAGGGAGCATGTACAGAAGTGGTGTGTGCATTTCTGGATTGAATTAGGGAGGCAATGGATGGAGGATTCCTGTTAGAGATGGCGAAAGCCTGCCATGATTTCTTAATGGGTATTATCCCATCCCAGAGCTTTCATTCAGCACAGAACAGCTTGTATTCCACATCATCCAGGACTGGAACAGGTACAGAAAATATTTCATTAGCATTTCAACCTGTGCTTGCTGGGATACAGCTTCATGACCTGGAACGCCTGCAACTGCAAAGTTGGCAACAGTATGTGAACCCTCGCTGCTTATATTGACACCAATGTGTATGACTGACCATTAGCATAGTTTTCATTAAGTCTTAGTGTACGTAATATAGTTTCTTTAGCATGCCCCAACAGCAGCGGCGACATGTGGGGGGCACACATGGGGTCACGTGCCCCTCCAGATTTCCGCCAGGGTTCATATGCCCTACTGCATACTACCAGAACCTTTAAATCAGAGGTTTTCAAACTTTGGGGCACACCCCCTAGAGGGTGTGGAGGAATGTTCAGGGTGGGGGGAGGAGGGGGAGTGATTATGCCAGACGGCTTGGGCTTCAACCCGGCGGGACTAGAGAGAAAATGCCACCTCCACCCCGAGTCGCCTCTTTTTTCTGCGTTGTGGGGTGCAAACAAAAGCTGTAACTCAAGGGGACATGGGGGGCTCTGCTCCAAAAATTTGAAAAACTGCTGCTTTAAATTGTGGGGCCCCCCACTATCAACAGTTACGGGTCATCTCTGTCCAACAATGCTAGAGTTAAAAAAAAAATCTATCAGTGGTTTCCTTTGCAAACCTATGCTATGCGTGGCTTTTCACTTGGGCTTGGTTGTTGGTATGTAAGTTGTCAGCTCAATGGGTTTTTTTCAGTGAAAAAAATATTGCTTTACTCTAGGGAGTTGTTTTTAGAGATGTGGGGCAGCAAAAATGTAAAAATTCTCATGGTTTGAGGTTTGCTTTTTACAAATGTTGCCAAGTTCTAGGATGTGGTGTTTTTTTAATTAAACAAGTTTACATTTTCCTAATATTTCATAATACATTGGCATTGTGAAATCTAGTGATTCTATAAAACAGTAAGACTTCTTAATACAATATATAAGGAACCTTAGCACTGCCAAGCAGTCATAATTGTAACAGGTAATTAGAGATTGTCTTTCCGTTCTGGCCTAAATTTTCAAAAGTGTCCGCTAACTTTTTGTGCCTCAGTTTATGGGTGCCAGACTTGAGACCCCTTGAACCTGATTTGCAGAGGCATTGAGAATCTGCAGCTCCCGTTGACTTCAACTGAGATTGACACCTTTGAAAATGGGACTCAAGCTATTTTTAATGGGAATGCAAAATTACTGGATGTTGAACATTTAGGCGTAAAACTCCAGATCCAAACTTTGGGGGTTTTAAGATGTGTTCTACTTTTTGCAGCCTAAACCCATATCCAGTACTTGTTCAGTGGAAAACAACTGAACGTTAAAGAACTGTCTGGAAGAAAAACAATGTAACAAGCAGCTCTTTTTTAATTTGCTGGAAGCATTTATATCTGCAAGTTTATACCCAAGTTATTTTTTGTTTCTGGGAATTTTTTTCAAAGTAGACCTAAAAAGGGAGTGGAAATTCTTAGTTTCTTCAGGTGTGTGCTGAAACATTCTAGCACCCTAAGGTGTGTTGTTTGGTTGGGATCAAACATTACAACATGTGACTTATATAGGTAGGAGTATATGCATATGCGTAGAGCTCCTATTTATATTAGTGGCAGTGCCAGGCTTGTGCATCAAGGAGCACAGAGGCCTTCAGAAATGAAGTATGGTTTACATCTAATGTGACATTTATTTGACTGAGTAAGGAAATAGATTAAAGTCCCACCAGCCCTTTCCCATCATCTGTTGGTCCAACAGGGGTGGTTCAGAATGGCCCCTAACCAATCCTGTTATTCTCACTGCAGAACTTCAGAGTATCAGTAGAAAGTATGAATGATGCTCAAAGGCTTCAAATGTGTACATTTATGTTAACCCTTTCTGCATCAGCAGCCATTTATGGAAACACCGGGGACCACATGGCATCAGCATTTATTGTAGCTGACCATTTCATCATTGTTATAGTTTTGTTATATAAACCTGCTCTGTGCTTCAAATCCCACTCTGTCAGTGACTTACCATGTGATGGTGAGCAAGTGATTTCCCCTCTCTAAGCCTCAGTTTCCTAATCTGCAATGCTAGAGAGTTGCACACTTTTTTGTGTCTGTAGAGGGAGTTTGTTGCACACACCGAGGTTCCTTTCATTTCACCTCCCTCCCCCCCCCCCCCGCAACACCCTCTCATCGCTCTCTATTTCAGGGACATATATAGATAAGTAAGATTGTATAATTTTTAATTTGTTAAATTATTTCTTTTCTTTCTTTCTGGAAGCTAAATTATTCAGGGTGTAGACATTTCAATTCCATTGGGACAATGGGCAGAGCTGAGATGGGGGTGGTGTTATGCCGGAAGGTGTTAGTGACCCTTATATCTTTTTGAATGTCCTGTTCTGAAAAAGCCATTTATTCCACAGCTTCATGAAGTCCTCTGCAGTAGAGTAATGATGACCTAAAGGAAGCTGAGGGGCATCCTGTTGACCTCATCATAGATATGAGAATCATTAGTCAGATGGTCAATGATATGTGTGTCAAAACACAACTGGCAGTGTTCCAGACTGCCAGTTGCCAGTGTCCGAGCATGACTGTTCATTATATCAGACAGATGATACTAAAATAGTCTCTGATATCCATATGTGTGTTCCATGCTGCTGGAACTTGCTCATCAATTAATTATCCTGTAGTCAGCATGCTGTAGCATAGAGTGGTGTACAAATGTCTACTAATTATCACTCTCAGCACTTCTGTGAAGTTTGTTAGTATCATTATCCCCATTTTACAGGTGAGGAAACTGAGACCGATAGCATAAGTGACTTGCTCAGTGCAACACAGGAAGTCAGTGGTAGAGACAGCACTAAAAATCAGGAGTTATTGGTTCCTAGACCACTAGACCACATTGCCTCTCACAAGTGTCACATAATCTTTCTTGACATGAAAACAGAAGTTCTCACTGTTGCATGTCTGGAGTTAATGATTATTCAAGATTGTCAAAAAACAGGCTCAATAGGAATTATTTAATTAAAGATTATCAATCAGAAATTAATTTGTCAATATACAGAATACAGAAAGAAGAGATACATTACCACCCTTGATGTAAGATAAAGAGCTGGCTCTGTGTCTCTTCTTCACTGCAAACTGGTGGGATGTGCAGTTTCATTCTCCAGCTAAGTTCCACAACTTCTGTCATTATACAGGGTTTTTAGACAAAGAGACCCTTCTTTGTCAGAAATCCCCTGCCAGAACCATATGTTCTGATGTCATTTCTTATGTTCTGATAGGATTTCCTTTAATATCTGTGAATTCTTAGTTTAAGAACATAAGAATGGCCATACTGGGTCAGACCAAAGGTCAGTCTAGCCCAGTAGCCTGTCTTCTGACAGTGGCCAATGCCAGGTGCCCCAGAGGGAATGACCAGGTAATCATCAAGTGATCCATTCCCTGTCGCTCATTCCCAGCTTCTGGCAAACAGAAGCTAGGGACACCATCCCTGCCCATCCTGGCTAATAGCTATTGCTGGACCTATGCTCCATGAATTTATCTAGTTCTTTTTTGAACCCTGATATAGTCTTAGCCTTCACAACATCCTCTGGTAAAGACTTCCACAGGTTGACTGTGGGTTGTGTGAAGAAATACTTCCTTTTGTTTGTTTTAAACCTGCTGCCTATTAATTTCATTTGGTGCCTGATGTATGTGTGAGGGCAGAATTATTTATAGCTGAGAGGACTGATGTTCTTCAAGGTAATATCTTTCCGTGAATCTTTTTTCCCCCCATAAGCATTCTTCCCTATTGATTTCCCAACAGAAAACATCTGCTGTAGCAATCATCAAAATATCTGGAGTTCTATGAACATGGAGGTGCCAAGGATTATTAGATATAGTTTAATGCATAGAATTCTGAATAGGGTGACTTACAAATTTAGAATCGGTATATTTAATGACAGACTAACTTTCAGCAAATTCAGGAAATGTGAGGCAGACCGAATGCACCAGAAACAGCCAACAAAAGCTGTAGCAATGGTCACAACATAAAAAACTGCTGGAAAGCATCTTTCTGTTTCTGAGAGTTGTTGAGCATTTAGATACACTAGCACTTTCCCAGTATCTGACAAGAGGATATGACCACCTAGGCCAACTCTCCTTAACTGTGAATCAGTGAAAGAGCATTTGGATGACAAAAAGGCTATAGTACAATGAATCTTACATTTACAGTATCTAGTAATTTTCTTCCTGAAGTATACCAGGTTGCTTAATAAACTGATATACAAACTATCCATGAGAATCACTCCATCCACCTCTGAAATTAGAGGGGAATTCTTTGGAGGGGAAATGGAGGATCTGCTTAAGGTGGATGGTAATACTACACAACATTTTGGGATAGAAAATGAAGAGTACCTTTCCCAAGTACTGCGTATCTTCTGAAGAGAAAGAATGCTCTGAAAAGGGAGCAACATGGGCAGACTCTCTTAACTTGGCATGTGCAAAGAGAAGAAATAGTGAGACAAGCAACAAATTAGAAACAGAGTAAAGGTTCTATACTGGTGTGTGTACAGAAATCACATCATATGACTAAGGCGGCACTCCAGAAATGAAGGGCTTTAAACACAAGAGTCATGACCTTAAATCGAATTCT